CTTTTCAGAAAAAGCTCTCAGAAAAACACATACGTCTCCTGTTGTTGGGGAAAGAGCATCTTCACCTGTCCTGGTTCATTTGCCTCCCTTGATAGCATCTGAACTGTGACAAGGAGGAGTTGGCTATAGCAGTAGGACCACCTGACACCATCACCGTGAGCCTGCTCTGTGTCTGCCTGCTCTGAGCTTCAACCACATCCCTCTGCTAAGGATACTGAGTCTCCCGGGAGTTAGAATAGCAGCCTGCCCCGGGGTGAGCACAGGAAGATTCCACAGCTGGAATAGGACGCAGCTACGACCCATGTCCAAGCCAGATGTTGAGCCAGTGCCCTAGCCCTGACACTTAGGTTCGGAGAAGTAAATAAAAGTCAGGCTACCGTACCGTATTCCACCTTCATCTTCTATCAAGTCTGCTTCTTTGATCCTGCCATTTGGATGGGATCAAAGGAGCTGTGAGAACTTCCTGAAGGTTCCCAGCAGGGTGGAAAGCAATGGTCTTTTAGAATTTGCACACTTGAGTTCAGACCCCTTTCGTCTCAAGTCCTGGTAGCTCTGGAAGCCCTGAGTTGGTCCTGTCCCTTTCCAAGCTTTGACACCACTGTCAGGTATGACAGAGGAGCTCCACCCTGTCCGGAGAGAAATCTAAACAGCTTGTTCATAGCCATCCTGCCCAGGCTCTATGCTGGGCAATAATGAATCATCTGTGGGGGAGACTGACACAGCCCCTGTCTTTATGTAAGGCATAGTCCCAAAGCAGGATTCTTAATAACTGTGCTATGGTCTGTGACCTGCACAAGAAGACCTCAGGAGAAAGAGAGCAGATGCCGTAAGGAAGAACAGTCATTGTCTAGGTGTCTACAAGGGCTGAGGAATCAACAGGTTGCTTGTGGAACTTATGGTATTTGGAGAGAGTTCTCTAAAGTCTGCAGAGACAGGTTCTCCTGCTCTGTTCCTCCAGAGCCCAGGTTTCAGCCCACCGCTGACCACAGCCACAGCCTCGCTGCCAAGCGTTGACTTTTCTCACCAGGGGAAAGAATGAACATCTCAAAGCTCTGAAACTGCCCCTTTAGGTCTTGTCCAGCTTTGAACCCTTTGTCAGTCTTTTGTCTTCTCTGAAGCGCTCTCTCCTTCTCTCTCTCTCTCTCTCTCTCTCTCTCTCTCTCTCTCTCTCTCTCTCATCTATAAAAGAGGGATCACACAAGCCACGATTTGTTTTTCTTTAGAAGAGTCTGAAAAGGAACTCTTCATGGGCATTTGAGGCTCTAGTAGCCGGGAGGGTAGAGGAAAGAAAAAGCAAGCAAGAAAAAAATGGGTTAAAACTCAGAATTTCCTGGAATTTTTATTTAATTTTCTTTGGGAGAAAAGAGATTTACTAAGTCGGAGATGAAAGGGAAGTCTGCACACAGAGGCCCCTGAGAAGTTACAATCTGTGCTAGGTTTAGCTCTCTCGCTGAATGTGGCCTGGAGATCAGACGTTGTGGTTAGACAATTCATAAACGCAGCAGGGCTTCGTTTGGATGCTGGCTCCTGACAGAGTACCAAGACCTCTGGATCAGCAGCCAGGGCTGCAGAGCTGTCTTGTCAGCACCCAGCCCTTAGACCCACCTCACTCTTGCTCTAGTTCCCTGGCCTGCCTGCCTCCTTCCCAGCCTGGAACAGAGTCCTGCTGGAACTCTGCCCAGACTTGTTTCTTCCTCTCTTTCTGGAATCTGAGTTCATCCTAGCCCTACTTTAGGTTCACTAATTCTGCTTCAGTACTGGTCCATTTGTGAAGGCCACGGCACACCACATGACCCAGGGTCATCCATCACAGGACCCAAGGTCATCCAAGTGCTGGGTTTTTGTCTGTCATTTCTTTGTAGGTCACTCATCTGAGTATGTTCTCTTTTTGGAATCCTAAAATTTCCCGGCTTTAATCTGAGGGTCACAGGATGTGAGATAGACTTAGCTATCAGCTGTAAGTCACCGAGAGATCTGCCAGCCATCTTTCTCATTTTCTATCTCAATTCTTATCTACCTGTTCAGAATGATTGTCACACACTTGGCTGGGTTATCATAAAGTCAGAGTTTAACTCCAAACCTTTAAGACATGCGGCTGCTGCAGCGGAGACTGCTGGTGAGCACTGTCCTTAGACATGCATCTGCTGCAGTGGTGACTGCTGTTGAGCACTGTCCTAAGACATGCATCTGCTGCAGTGGATACTGCTGGTGATCTCTGTCCTAAGACATGCATCTGCTGCAGTGGTGACTGCTGTTGAGCACTGTCCTAAGACATGCATCTGCTGCAGCGGAGACTGCTGGTGAGCACTGTCCTAAGACATGCGTCTGCTGCAGCGGAGACTGCTGGCGAACACTGTCCTAAGATATGCTTCTGCTGCAGTGGAGACTGTTGGTGAACACTGTCAATATACCTTTCTGATTGAGTGCAGTGACTGAAGTTTTCTTTTACCAGCTGGAAACCTTGATCGAAAGAATAATAGAGTTAATGATTAAGAAAAGGGAATTTCAAAAAAAAAAAAGGGAATTTCAAATTCTTTCTTTCTCCCCTACAGGCTTGACAGTGTTCTTCATTACAAAGTTCTCCCTTCTTTCAGAAACAGCACGCAGCATCCCATGTCAAAACTATACCATGACTGGCAAAAAAAGCTCCCATCTCTGCTGTGGGCCTTCCCCTCTCTAAAACAGGAAGTGCTGAATTCACGTATTACTGAAATAAGACCATTATTCTTTCTTGATCTGTTTTGGTTGATACATTCCCTGCCTCCCTTGTGCCAGAGACTTTAAAAAGTAGAACCGAAGTATGAAATACTTCCACCGTTTGTAGAACTAGTCCCTAGGCAAGACATACACATGAAAAGCTTATGGAAAATATGCAGCGTAGTTAATGATTAAGAAAAAGGAATCTCAAGTTCTTTCTTCCTACCCTACAGGCTAGACAAACTTGGTCTACATTACAAAGTTCTCCATTCTTCCAAAACCACCCCTCCCCATTGGCAACTAAGTATCCATTGCTGACCTGTTCCTGGGATGGCATCTCCTGATGCCGTGGACTTCTTTCTCCCTGCCCTGCCCTCTCCATCGCCTTGTTTGCTTGTTTGTGCCCCTGTGCTGTTGAAGAGTAAATTTCAGATTCTTCATTATGCTGGGCCGTTGAGTGCTATGTCTACTACAGGTCTCAATGCAAGTCAAACTGCAAAGGTACCTACCTGTACTTTGGGTTTTAGAATTTGGCCAATTTGAGATCCCAGCCACCCTGTTGTGTGGAACTATAGCCCATACTTCAGAGCCTCTGTGTTACTCATCTGTGAAATGGGAATGATTAAACTACCTTACAGGGAATGATGGCTTATTCAGTCTCCTGCAGCTTCCCTCACTTGTCTTAGAGGAAGTCCAGTCATAGCTGTAGGGCACTCTTTGAAAGATTCTGGGCTCTCTCTCTTGGTATTCAGTGGCAGTTTAGTGGCCCTATTTCACCCGGGAAAGCTCTAAAACTCAAGTAGCTGCCCCCACCCCGTCTTTGCCCTGGGTTTGTTTCATCCCTGGATCCTAGCACCTGTTGCCACATCGTTCAGCCACCACGCTGCACCCACATTCTCCCTGAGTTTGTTCAGTGCGTTGACTTTCAAGAAGAGCTGGTATCCACACAGGGACCTGGAGAGGCAGATTCCATCACAACCAGCTGCCAGACAGATTCTGTCTCTCCTGTTCTGCCCTGGAGGGATGAGGATACCAGGAGAGTCCCCTGACAGACCTCTCATGGCAGATAACTGCCCCTGGTTCCTGTAGAGTAAGAACAGCAAGACTCCAGGCTTCTGAGGACCTGGGGCATCCATATGATAAAGCTCTACAGTGATCTGGAAGCTGGTGATCTCACCTGTCCTTTCTGGACAAGGAAATTTTCCTCATAACAGTGACTGGATGCAGAGGGATGGGGTCATCCCCCTTTGTGAGCTCCTGCTATATTCTAGGCACTGTAGGACAATCTTACACACTGTGACACCCTCCCCACTGCAGAGCAAGAAAAGCCTTGCTTTAGAGCTGAGAAACCAAAGGTTAAATAACTGGCCCTGGTCATAGAGCTGGAAAAGGAGGGCGAGTAGGAATTCAAGCAAAGTCTGTTTGACTTTGAAGTCCATTACAGCTGGGTTCCTACTAAAGGCAGAGTAAACAGCAAGAGTGTGCGGAGCTTTCAGAGGGAGAGGGGAGGTGCCAGTTTGCTGCTCGCCGCCTTCACCCAGCTGACTGTGGGATTTGAGGGCCTCTTCCAGCTACCTGCTCTCTCTGCATCGCGAAAACATAGCCCCTCAAAGAGATGGAGGGAGGGAGTGGGGGGCGCACCGTCTGTGAATTGTCCACCTTGGGAACAACATCTTGGAAGGGAAACACTTTGAATGGAAATTTGTAAATGGGCAGCTTTGTGGGGTGCGTCTAGTGGTAGATGTTTTGTTTTAGCGGCAGGAATTTTCAGAACTTCAGATGAATTGTTAGCCATCTTAAAAGGCAACAGGTTTACATAAAACTCCAGACTTCTGAAATTACCTTGAAAAATCCCAAGTGAGCCTTCATCCTCCTCTGGCCACCGGTGACTGGAGTTGAGCAGCCAGCCCCTTGTGCTTGAAAGTGGACAGTGCTCTTTAATCAGGTACCGTCCTTTTTCCCTTGGGTCCTCTCTGGTGGTACAGAGTACCAGTTCTGCCTCTCCACTGCAGCATCCCCGCCCCCAGCCACCATTTTTCTCCTCTTGGAAATAAGGGTCGAAAAGACCCTTCCTAGCCGGGTGGTGGTGGCGCACGCCTTTAATCCCAGCACTCGGGAGGCAGAGGCAGGCGGATCTCTGTGAGTTCGAGACCAGCCTGGTCTACAAGAGCTAGTTCCAGGACAGGCTCCAAAACCACAGAGAAACCCTGTCTCGAAAAACCAAAAAAAAAAAAAAGAAAAAAAAAAAGAAAGAAAAGAAAAGACCCTTCCTAGTGTCTTCATACATCTTTCTGTTCCTCTAGGGGTGCCCTTCCCAAAGAACTTCCTTCAGATCTGCAAGAAGATCCTGTGCCGTCTGTTTCGGGTCTTCGTCCACGTCTACATCCACCACTTTGACCGGGTCATTGTGATGGGGGCAGAGGCGCATGTCAACACCTGCTACAAACATTTCTATTACTTCGTCACGGAAATGAACCTCATAGACCGCAAAGAGCTAGAGCCCTTGGTAAGTGTCTCGGAAGCTACGGAAAGCGGAGGGGGGGGGGATAGGAGGGAGTTGCAGAATTAGACAGCATTCAGTAACCAGCAAAGAGCCAGGGTGCATCAAAATGTCTATTGCAACCACGTAAATGTCGGAAGTTGCTCTCCAGGAGGTGATAATGTGTTGATATTATTCCTATATAATGATTTGGGCCAAGGAAGCTAGATTTAATACTCAACTCTAAAATCATAGAGACACTTTAATTTTCTTTTGGTTTTTGGTTTGTTTGTTTTAAGATTTATGTATTCATTATGTATACAGTGTTCTGTCTGCATGTATACCTGTAGGCCAGAAGAGGGCGTCAGATCTCATTACAGATGCTTGTGAGCCACTATGTGGTTGCTGGGAATTGAACTTAGGACCTCTTGAAGAGTAGCCAGTGCTTTTAACTATCTGCTAAGCTATCTCTCAAACCCCCTGGTTTTTGGTTTTTCAAGGCAAGGTCTCTCTATGTAGCCCTGGCTGTCCTGGAACTCTTGAGCTGTAGACCAGGCTATCCTCGAACTCATAGATTCGCCTGTCTCTGCCTCCTCCCAAGTGCTAGGATTAAAGGCGTGTACTACCACCACCCGACTGAGCCACTTCTTTGGTCTGTCACTACTAGTGACAGTGATGCTCAGAAACATTACTTTCTTTAGTCAGTAAATGAGCACTGAACACCCGCTGCCTGTCGGCTGCTGGGCACACAAAGTCAGACACCGATAGAAGCCAGTCCTAAGGAAGAGTTCTGTGTCATAGGGAATTTACTCATCCCAATTTCCCTGGGGTGAAGCCATCGTAGGTAGATCATTTGCGATTAAGAACATTTGAGATTAAGCTAGCTTTGTAATACGGATGAGTGGAATCTGCTTTCATTCTATTGTTTTTAAAAGAGATTTATTTTTGTTTTGTGTATGCGTGTTTCGCTTGCATATATACTTGCGCACCGTGTGTGCATGGAGTGCCTGCCTGTGGAGGCCAGAGAAGGGTTGCAAATCCCCCGGAACTGGAGTTACAGGTGGTTGTGAGTTGCCACGTGGGTGCTGGGAATCCAACCTGAGTCCTGAAAGAGCAACAGGTGCTTTTAACCACTGAGCTGTCCCTCTGTGCCCTGTGTTTACTTTCTTCAAAAGTATCTTTCGCCCTTGGCTTTAGCATGTGATCGAGATCAAGGACCTTCGAAACCTTTGTGATAGGTTCACTTTAATGTGGATGCTGGTCTCACAGGTAGCCCCAGTGACACTAGTGAGTCCCTCCCTACCCAGTAGGATACATTGCTTTATATTAAAATCATGTTTTTTTTTTCCTTGAGAGAGTTAAAAATGTAGCTTTGCTAAATATAGTTGGCAAAACAAGCTTTATCCGAGTCTTTTTGAATGTTGACCAAAAGAGCCCAGGTGTCTGCTCTCCTCTTTCCCCTCTTTCTTTGTCTGCACAATTGAAGTGATGTTTTATTATTATTTGGGTATCTGAGATCAACAGCTCACATGACTATGCCCAGAAAGATACTGTGTTATATTCACATAGCCTCCTAATAAGAGCTGAGCCCAACTGTGCGGGGAAGCAGCAGATGGGGAGGAGCCAGAGCGGGCAGACAAACAGGTGTGAGGTATACTCATTTGAAGGATCTCAGCAGCCTCGGCATGCAGGCCGCACCTGTTACTTGTCCTGCAGTCATTGGTCTGACAGCCTGATGTGGGCGGTGCTTGGCTGTGGGCTCTAGACTGGCTGGTTTATATTGGCTGTGTGTGTGTGTGTGTGTGTGTGTGTGTGTGTACGTGTACGTGTGTACGTACACAACTGTGAGTCAACAGTTTGCTTTCTCAGGTATTAACTAGTGGGAGGGGGTGGGGGGGTCCCTCTTGAGGTCATCAAGATCCCAGGGATTAAAGAAGCAAAATGCAAAAATAAAATAAAGATTAAAAATGAGCGACATATTAGCTCTACATGTGGTATATCTATATCTAGTAAAGAAAATGGTGGTGGATCTTCTGTTATGAACTAGGAGTCTAATTCATGGTCTAGAATTACACCCCGGAATACACACCAAACCGTTTACTTTGCATGCAGTTGAGATGTCCCTCACGTTGTTGGTTAATTGGTTAAAGAATAGGTGGTCGTCTTCACTTTCTTTCCATTGGGTTCTCAGGAAGCTTTTGGGACAGCCACCAAGTGATCTCTGAGCATCGCTGTAGGACTCCTGTGAAAATAAGGCTAAAGGCATTGGTGGTGGGTTTGCTAGTTTGTTCAGTATCGAGACTGCTGGGCGTAAATAACCAGCCCGGGAGTAAAAGGTTGTGCAAACAACTCGGGAGTGTGAGCACTGGAAACCGTTGATAAAGCTAATCTCAGAAAATGTCAAGGACGTGGAAAGAGAGGGGCTTGTGAGTAAAGAGACACAAAAGCAGCTGCGGCTGGGCCACAGAGTCGAGGTCCCAATGGGATGACACCTAGGTAGATAGGAACAAGTCCCCAGAGGCCACCAGAAGTAAGAGTGCTGCTAGACACCCTTCGGTGTTGCTGAGTTAACAGACAGACGTTAGATGGACAGGGCTGAGCGTCACAGGGCTGAGCGTCACAGGGCTGAGCGTCAAGGTCTCCCTTGTGCACAGAAGCATAAAGGCTACTGTGGGGAAAATCAGCAAGGAGAGAAAGCCTTTCTCTGCCGTCTAAATTCTCTCCGTTGTATTCTGTTCCTGAAGAAAGGCCCCAGGAGCCGGAGAACCTGGTAGTGCCAGGAGCCGCCTTGCAGCCTCCCAGCCAGACTCTGAACAAGTCAGTATTCTAGAAAGAACTTGTTTGGGGACCTGGGAGAAAAAACATGATTGTCCTCACTGGGAGTTGTTAGTAGTAGAAGTGACAAGAGAAGTAGTGGGTGCCCCCCCCCAAGTTTGTACTTCTTTAACACGTACTTAAAATTGTTTTCTTCCCACATTTATCTTTCTGTTGGTCATTGCGACAGGGAGTTTAATTGTAATAAGAGGCAGTAGTAAGTAGTCTTTAAAAAATTATGTGAAATTATGTGTTTATACAAACTCAAACCTGTAAATCACAGGACTGGATACTGTGAATGTTTATGAGTCTAGTGATCACGTGATGGCCAGGTGTGGTGATGCATACCTGTAATCCCAACACTCGAGACGTATCCTCAGGAGGATTGCTGCAATTCTGAGTCTACATGGTCAGTTCCAGGCCAATCAAGGCACTGTAGAGAGAACCTGTTCCCAAAATAGCAACAACGGGGGCTGGCGAGGTGACTCTGCTGTTAGAGCCCTGGCCGCTCTTCCAGAGGACCGGGTTTGATTTCTAGCACCTTCGAGGGGCAGTTCACAGCTGTCTGCAACACCAGTTCTGGGAAATTCGACAACCTCTTCTGGCTTTTGTGGGCACTAAATATACACACGGTGCACAGACATATATGCAGGGGAAGTACCCATGCACATAGAATACAATAATCTTAAGAACCCACAACAACTATATGGTGCCAGGCTCAATTGCTGGGCAGATCACTAAGAGTGTTAAACCCGTGGGTTGGCACTGATGGCATTGTGTTCGTTGATGTTGCTGGAATTACCTGGCTCTACGTCTAATGTTGCAGAATTGCAAAGTGCATATTATAATCAGAGTTAGCATACCAAATCAATACACTTCAGTTAGTACAGTATTTTCTTACACTTATTTATTGTGGGGGAGTGTGCTCGTGTTTAGACGTGTGCTAGTGTTTGTACACGCAGCTGCACACACGTGCACACATATGTGGAGGCAGAGAACAACCGTGGCAGTCAGTTCTCTCCTTTCATCATGGCTCCCAGGATCAGGACATCTAGCTTGGTGGCAGAGGCCTGTACTCATGGAAACATCTCACTGACCCCAAATCCTTGTATTTTTATTTTGGATAGTTCAGCTACTCTATATGTTCAAAGCAAATTGTTGAGATATTATGGTTTATATAAAAGAGATGGGGGACACTTACAACAAAGCCTAGAAAATATGCAATCACGAGTATCTTCTGCATCCCCAGAAGATGAATAACCAGGACTTTGTCTTCAAATTCTGGTCGTGCATTCTTCAGAGTGTAGTGCAGCAAGAGGTCAAAGGACAGCATTTGTTCAGCCAATTTCCCTCAAAACAGCAGCGTTCCCAGAAGTCCTCCACCGTCAGTGGGCCATTGCTGGAGTCAGGCTTAGCATTTCACAGGGGGAATCTTGGAGCCTCACCTGGGTCTTCTCATCTCCCATGTATGGGCACAGCCTTTCGTGTCAAGGGTCAGCCGGTTGCACTGGAGCAGTGCCAGCTGAGCTTCTAGCACATGGCTTCTGTGGAGGGTCCAGGACCTCACAAGGGTAGGACACTCAGAATCACACACAGCCAGCATAAGACCCAACCCCAGGGCTCGAACCCCAAACCTTCGCTTACTAACTTGTAACCAACCTTTAACAAGACACTCATTTTTTTTTTTTTTTTTTTTTTTTTTTGGATTTTCGAGACAGGGTTTCTCCGTAGCTTTTGGTTCCTGTCCTGGAACTAGCTCTGTAGACCAGGCTGGCCTCGAACTCAGAGATCCTCCTGCCTCTGCCTCCCGAGTGCTGGGATTAAAGGCTTGCGCCACCACCGCCCGGCCGACACTCAGTTTTTGAAACCATCATTTTCCTCATTCACGGAGTCACCATAAAGGAATTACAAAAATTAAAAGATCAGGCACACAGAGTCAGTACTTAAGAAATGTTAGCTATTAAGTCAGGTAATGGATTTACAGTAATTAGTACTCAGTAAGTAGAACAACCCCGCTCCTCCCTTCCCTGATTCTCGTGACTTTTCATCCATCCTAGTGGCTCCTTAGGTAGCCTCAGAGCAAACATAGTTAGCTGTCTTTGTGTCTGTATCTCCCTTGGGTTGTCAGTCCTGTGAGGACAGCTACTAAATAAAATATAGTCCTGAATTGCCCATGCTTGGTACATAATAAATACGTGAAATGTTTTTTGGTT